GTAGTATCTGAGTCTTGGAATATGCTTATTTTCGGTTGGTCTGATCTTTAAATCTTGAATTGGAGTATTTTGTTTCTGTATGATCTTGAATTTAAATGAGAGTATGCTTTTGTGTTGATATCTAGTGTGATAGTTTTGTTAAATGTGATTGTCGATTATGTTAGCCATTTGTATGTATTAGTGTTTATTTTTGTATTTTGGTAAGGATTAGAAATTGTCTAACGCTCTGCCAGATCAATTTATTATTCCCCAAACATTTTATTGCTTTCCTTATTTATTTTTTGTTTTGGAAGGATTAGAAGTTGTCTAACCGGTTTGCCAAATTCAACTTCTTGTTTCCCCAAATCATTTATTGCTTTACTTATTTATTTTATTGCATTTTTGGAATGATTAGAAGTTGCTAACCGGCTCTGCCAGATTCAACTTCTTGTTTCCCCAGACATTGTTAATGTTGTGTGTTATTTAATTTATTGTATTTTTGGATGGATTAGAAGTTGTCTAACGGCTCTGCCAGATTCAACTTTTGTTTCCCCAGAAATTATGTATTTATCTATTTTTTTATGCATCTTTGTGGAAGGATGAGAAGTTGTCTAACCGGCTCTGCCAGATTCAACTTCTTTGTTTTCCCCTGAATTTTATATAATATTATTTTGATGGTAAGGGCAACTAATTTTGTATGAATTTTATAAATATAAGAAGTTGAACTGGTGTTCTCTTGCGAACTGTTTTCATACTTTATTATATTGGTGTTATAACTGAAACTGTTTAAATTGTACATGTTGAGTGCGATGAATTTATTGAAGGAGTTTGTTGGCTGAAATTGATCTTGTTGGAAGGTCTGGAGTAAGGGTTATCTGTAATTGCTTATATATGAGTATTAATAGATATCAGATACTGTTTGAGGTGTTGTGAGATGAAGTAGTAAAAAATTAAAATTAGACATTTTAGATTTAGAGCATAAGAAAACAAGGTAGAAAAATTAAATAAATAAATTGATTAATTATTGAGGCCTCCCTTTGTTGGTTGGATAGAGGAACCTTAAAAACCTGAGTTGGCACATTCCTGATCATAGAGCAGCCCTGGCCTGGTCCAGTCAGGTGTGACTAGTCATATGTGCTGACGTTCGGAAGGTGAGTTTGATGCGTTCAGACATCTGGGTCCTCTCCGGTGACCAATTGGAGTAAAGAAAATCTCTACTAGATGAAAATAAAATAAAAACAAGTTGATTGTAGATGGCATAATATTATCATGGTAAAAATTTCATAGATATTTTATTTATTATACATTGAGCCCAGACTTTAAAATGTAGTTCCTACGATATGTTGATATATTTGGTTGATCCATGATCTTTGTTTGGTGATGTAAATAGTTGAGTTATACCGTTAGGCCAAAAAGGAGTTTATAATTGAAGCCTAATATATGGTAATATGTTTAATTTATTGATACCAAAACGGTTATTATAAATTCTTGATTAAAGAATGAACATGATTGAGTTGGTGGATAAAGGGTATGAAATTGTTGGTTTTATGAAATGTTGGAGTGGAATGAGAAATCATTACTTATGAAATGATGTTTACTACCGGGAGTATTATGTTCGAGTTATACCATGAGAGTTTGGTATGAGCAATAGTAACACCTGAGGTTTATGAAAGCAGGCGGAAAGTGGCTGACCATATAGGCTTTGGACATAAACACATTGATTCGTTAAGTTATAAAGAACAGCAGAGAGGGGTCGCACCATAAGGCGTCAGAAGTAAGACATAGTATATAAGTGAGGGCTTAAGGGAGGCAGAGAGCGGTCTGATCGAAGGCTCTGAGTAAGCATGGTACACTGTAATTTATGGAATAAAGCTTAAATGAGAAGACGATAAGATATTATCATTGAGCGATTATGATAGTCTTTACAGGAGATAGAAATGGAGACAATTAATGGAATAAAATAGAAGTATTTTATAATTAAAAATGTATAATATTTTTTAAGATTTTTGATAAAGGTTGGCTTACCCTTTATTGTTTGTACTATGATCATATAACTCATGTTATATGTGATTAGATAATGTTGCAGAATGCGTGGTTGAACAAGCTTAGAGATGAAGAGAGATGCGGGGTAAAACTTTCAGGGTTTTTGTAAAAGAATAAATTTGTATGGGGAAGATTATGTTGTGTAAAACTTATAAGTTTGAAATTTCAATGGTGAAGACTATATTGTTTAAAGTTTGTAGTTGGTATTGTACTTTGGATTAAATGAATAAAGTTGATTGTTATAAGAGATATCAAATATTTAGTCTCTTACATCAGAATACCCTTATAATAGTAGGGTGTTACAACGAGCGTTCCAAAAGAGGCCCAATGCTCCCGGACGTACGCTCATTTCTGGGCCTGGCCCAGTCCCTGCTTTCTAACCTAGAATTTCCTAGGGGTCAGAGATTCATCCTCATTCCCACTCCTTCACGCCAGTTCGCACCTTCTCCAGAAATTCAAGGTTTCTTGTCAGCACCACAACTGATCACCACCTCTGCCATAGCCGGCCACGTCACCTCAAACAGAACACGCCTGGCCTCGCCGGCGAATGGCGCACCAGAAACCAACGAGTCAGCAAGACACCACCATCTCCACTACTTCTCTTCAAAAACCAGATTCTCAGCGAAAGATTTCCTCCGCCTATCTCCGATCCATCACGTCATCCACACCATCATCATCAACTTCACCATTGCTAAAACCTCCACGACGACCACAACCACTGCCACGATAAGGCTCCCCGTGCCTATCCTCGTCCACTTCCTCGACCACCTCCACGCCCCCTACACGGCCACCATCACCTACAGGACAACCTTAGCAACGCCACTACCACCACCACACAGCAGACTACCACTTCTTCGACCACCTCCACGGCCCCCTACACGGCCACCATCACCTACCAGGACAACCTAGCAACGCCACTGCCACCACCACACAGCAGACTACCACTTCCAACCCGCCAACCACAAAAACAACCAGCCACTCTCTCATCTCAAAACCCGCCCAAAGTAGGGGGGGGTATTAAGCACATCGCCTCCATGTTCCCATTCATCCTCACCGAAAGAGCGATTCCAGTGGAGGAGATTCGGAATTTCAAAGGGTCCACTTGAGTCTTGGGACGTCAGGGTTTCACGAAAAAAAGGGTTTGCAATGAATAAAGTGGATATTACTGGGTGTTAGCATTTTGGCAGTGTTTTTTTACTGGGTTTCCAACGAGACGTTATGTATGTATATGGTAACTATGGAATCGAGCTGACCAATGATGATAGCCAGCGGTCATGGAGAAAGATGATGACCACACACCATAATGTTTTTGAACAGATTATAAGCACTCCTCGTATGCATTATCAAAACACTAATTTTAATCATACATGAGAAAGAGAAAAAAGGATAAGCTGCATACCTGAGAATTGCTCGGTATTGTCATTCAGATCTCCTTTGCCTCCTCCGATGATCTATCTCGGCACCCTCTTAAAAACCTTTTTTTCTCCTCTTGATTCCCTCTACGCTCCCTCCCTTCCAAAGATCTCGGGCCTCCCCTTTTCTTTTTTCTCCCCTGATCCAACCAAATCCCCCTCCCCAAAATCTTAGAAAAATATTCCCTTCTAACCACCTTGTCCCCTCCTTTCCAGACACGTCCCACATACCCCTTTCCCAGCTTCTTATTTTATGTTTTATTTTTTTCAATTTTATTTTATTTTTTTTAATTATTTCAGTTTTAATTTTATTTTTTCAATTTTGTAATTATTTTGATAATTAACTCTATGTAAAACAAATGAAAAATAAGAAAATAAAATAGAAATTGAAGCAAAGATCTAAATAACATAAAAATAGAATAAAATAAAAGGTAAAATAAAAAAAAAAAGGAAAATAATAAATAACCAATAAAAATAAAATTTTTTTTACAACCCGGACAAAATTGAGTGTTGACATTTATTATTTATTTTAAAAGAGTTTTTATTATATATAAGTCAAAAAAATAATTTGCTACTTTGATGATATTCAATGTCTAAAGAGGCATGTAGTAAGAGGAGATTAAAACATCAATAAAGATATATGTACAAATCTAAAGTCATGTATCTAATTCAGTTTAAAGAACTTTTTTTTTTCTTTTTCTTTCAAGAAAGCAATCTCAATCAAACCAAATCAAGTTATGCGTTTCGATGATTTTTTTTTTTTCACTTAGAATTTATATGCAGATATCCTGAATAAAATTAATAAAATAAAGAAATGAATGTTCATAATATTTATTTTGGACATCACATTTTAAATGAAACAATTTATGATGTTCCATAAAAAAAAGTAATTAAAAATCTATGATTCATTAAATACTTTTATAAGTTTTACTTGAAAATAAAACTGGATATTAAAAGTGTTTAATTGACATATTTATTCCATAATAAAGGTAAAACACTTATTAGAGTCTAATACAAAAAAAGTTATACAAATAAAAGAAATATTCATCAATGCTAGGTTATAGTTTTAAATAAAATTAATTTTATAAAAGTATTTATAATAGTAAGAAGAATCTTATAATATTACATCATATTAATTTTAGTAAAAACATACAAATACTTTTTAGAATAAAAGAATATTGCAAAGTATGCTAAATGGCACAACATCATGTTATTAAATGAGTTTAATATCTATAATATTTAAACATTAAATATATTAAAATATATATATGTTATATATATATATATATATATATATATATATTCAATTTTGTAAACTAAATGACAATGTAAAATATGGTTTTCAATGTCCAAATTAAATTCTTATTTGGTATAAGAAGTAGACAAAAATATGTAGAAAAACACATGACAATGATGTATGATTGTGTTAAATAATTATTATTGTTTTTTATCATCCAAAATAACCCTATTCAATTAAATGTTTATAGCTGTTACATGTATTTTACAAAAAAAAAAATGTACGACTCCAAAGTTGGTGGACAACTGGGCCTAATACTAGTGAAAAGTACAAGAGTGTTGTTTTTGTTGAGCCCAGACAGGTTTGTATGACTGTGTTCGTGGATATGTCTTGCTTCGTCTCTTTCTTCCACCGGTGACTCTAAAGTACGCACACGTTGTTCTTTCGGCTGAGGCAATTTGGAAAATGGGAGTGGACTATTACAAACTTCTTCAGGTAGATCGAAGTGCCAGCGATGAGGATCTCAAGAAAGCTTATCGAAGGCTTGCTATGAAGTGGCACCCTGATAAGAACCCTAACAATAAAAAGGATGCTGAAGCCAAATTCAAGCAAATCTCGGAAGCTTATGATGTACGATTTCTCTCAATAAAAAATTTTCTTCGTGCAGTGCCAATTACATATGGAAAAAAGTTAAAACTTATATCAAAGTTTTAATGTTTTTTGTCGTTTCTTTCTTACAATATGAACTTTTAGGTGTTGAATTTTGTGTTCTTGATAATTGGAATTGTGGGTTTTATGTCGACGTATATTTGTAATTTTTGTCTCCTTATCTCAATGTAATGCCGATTGGATTGTGCAAGCAAAGGGTGAATTTATCAGTGCTTCCATTTCTTTTACTAATTTTTGCAATTTGAAATTTGGGGTATCTAGTTTTGCAGTTTTGAGGTTTTTTCTTGTGATTTGGATCCTTGGAATCATGGGTTATGGTGGTGATTTTATTTGTGAATAGGTTTTGAGTGATCCACAAAAGAGGGCAGTGTATGATCAGTATGGTGAGGAGGGATTGAAAGGGCAGGTGCCACCTCCGGGTGCTGGTGGATTTTCCGGTGGCACTGATGGTGGATCAACGACTTTCCGGTTCAACCCTAGAAGTGCAGATGATATTTTTTCGGAGTTCTTTGGGTTTTCGAGTCCCTTTGGAATGGGGGATATGGGTGGCCGTGCCGGTCCATCTGGCTTTCCCAGATTTGGGGATGACATTTTTACCTCTTTTAGTAGGAATGCGGCTGGAGAAGGCTCTGTCAATGTGCCAAGGAAAAGTGCACCTATTGAGAGAACCTTGCAATGCAGTTTGGAGGATTTGTACAAAGGGACTACCAAAAAAATGAAGATTTCCAGGGATGTGATTGATGCTAGTGGGTAAGATATACAGTTTTAACTTGTTACCAACTTCTTTTGCTTCCATTCGTGAACAACATATGAAGTTTCTTGTTGGAATTTTTATTCGATAGATATGACTTGCTAAATTCCCAGTTAGGTTGGATTATTTGCTTTGTACTATATGGTTGTTTGAGTTGGATAATCACTTCTCTCGATAGTTTTGGTAAACTTGAATTTGAAATGTAGGTTCACAGTCTCGTAGCCACAGAGTAATAAACTTTTCTCTAATAAAGTGCTGAATAAATTCTGTTATTCACGATTTCTTTTATGTATATGAAGATCTGTAACTCGTAGTACTTGAGTTGGATCTGCCTATTTTCTTGGAATACACTGTTTCCTTGAAGAATATTCTTAATTTTTTATGTGAATATATATGGCACAGTACTTTGTTATCATTGTGTTAGTAATTTAATCCAAAAAGAGATAGAAAAATTACGTGTTATTCATTCAAAATGAAAGGTAGTTAGTTATGCTGTATGACTTCTTGGACATATTTTATCTTGTATTAGTTTCCTTTCCTATCATTCTTCATGCAAACATAAAGGATTTTTGTGGCGGATTCTAAGAGTTATAGATTATTATTACTATGATGTTTTGTCATTTTCTGTTCAGTAGGCTGGAAAACTGTTGCTAAATATGCAAGTTCTACGTATTATCTTGTTTTTTATTTTTACTAGATCATGTGCATTCTATAGCTTGCTGCCTTTGTTGGTCCATATTATTTGGTATGCTCATAAGCACCAAAGAAATGTCATCTGTGTTCATAAGTGCAAAATTCAAGGAGATCTGAGTGTTCTTTTTCAAAGATTCATCTTTGTGCTGTTTTAATCTGGAAGGGCTTGTTAACTTTTTATCTGTATTGAGCAAATACCACTGTGTTAAAGGTTTCAATACCCAAAAATATCCAGGGGAATGAATCTACTAGTAAGATGGGGATGTTAAATATCGAGGTTAACCTGGAAATGTGGAAAAGGGATAGTTGCTTTGTTTATTGACATAGAATAAATGAACGGGAATTTAGCCATAAAATATTCAGTTTAACTCCATTCTTAGTGAAAGAAGAGGCAATTTAAGATAGTATATTGCTTGATAGAAAAAAAAAAACTGAGTATCAATACTATATGTATTGATGGTGTTATTCTCCAATCAAATTGGTGTTGTATCTTTGAAATCAATGCTGATTTTATTTTCTAAGAAGAAAGTTGCAATTATTGGTTTTGATTGGTGAACAATAACAATATTGACTATAATGTTCATCACAGTTTTCTCCTAAATGACTTGGAGATTTTATATCCATTAGAACTGTGATAAGTAGTATGGTCCTGGACAAATGGTATAGGCATGATGGAAGATTTTTTATATCCAAAATGATTGAAAATTCCATTTTGGACTGTGTTTGATTGGAACATACATGGTTGAAAAGTTTTTCACCTCTGTATTTGCCTGGCTTACATTGTGCTTGTGGTGATCAGAAGTTGGGCTTTCCATCCAAATCTAACTTTGAAATCAAATGCCAATCTCGTGTGTAGTTTTAGCCATGAAGGGAGACTTCGTTGACACAAAATGGAGGGTAGGGACAAGCTGTAATTCTCTTAAGAATTCCTCTAGGAGTGTGTGTAATATATGTGTGTGTGTATATATATATATATATTCACGTTGAAGCAACACATTTTCTAGTTTATTATTTCTTGCAAATTAAAACTATGTCTGCAATTGATTAAAACTAGTTCCAATACCCCAAAACTATGAAGCACCAAGTGGTGGAGAAAACTCCTAAATTTATGTTAAGTGGGAAACTTTAGCCGTTAGGCATGTTTATATAGAATGCATATTTTGTAATATACGTCTAAAAATAATACATGTGAGACAGTGAATTATCATCGTAAATGGTTCTGATATCATGGAGAATTTTCTTCACGTCATTGACTAGTTGCGTCAAAAATAGAAGGATATTTATTGCATGGCATATACTAATCTATGTTCTTGAAAATAAGGACCCAGTTGTTTTAATATTCAATAAGCAACTGGCTTCTTTACATAGAGAAGGAATAAAAGTGATTCCCCTGTTTTTTATTTGTTGACTTTACGTATTTTAAAACTAATAGCAAGTTGGAATAGTAAATTGAGTTAACTGAGCAAATAATCTACTAGTTTTATTATTCTGTAGGAGGCCCACCACTGTAGAGGAAATTCTAACCATTGAGATCAAGCCAGGTTGGAAGAAAGGAACAAAAATAACTTTTCCAGAGAAGGGAAACGAACAAAGAGGAGTTATACCCGCTGATCTTGTTTTTATTATTGATGAAAAACCACATGGTGTCTTCAAAAGGGATGGCAATGATCTTGTTCTCACACAGAAAATATCCCTTGTTGAAGCTCTTACTGGTTACACGGCTCAGCTGACAACTCTTGATGGCCGGAATCTTACCGTAACCACCAACTCCATCATCAGTCCGACATACGAAGAAGTGATCAAAGGAGAGGGTATGCCCATTCCCAAGGAACCTTCCAAAAGGGGAAACTTGAGGATCAAGTTCAATATCAAGTTCCCCTCTAGACTTACATCAGAGCAGAAAACTGGCATTAAACGATTATTGACATCTCCATAAACTCTGGTGATGCGTCTCCTTACCACATCAAATCGTGAAAGAGTGGAATTACTTACTCAGTTTTCAATTTTCATATGGAAATTCTTTCCTTTTGCGAGCTGGTTTCTGTTATTAGAACAGTTTATTAGAAGTTTGATATTTGTTGTTTCATATTTTGTCTAGTTTTTTGTTTCTCAATGAAAAAAATTCTCTCGACCAATTGCCTACTTGTTTCTACAGAAATGTTTTGGAAGATTTCATTATCTACGCTTGTAGATTAAGTCTTTATTTTTGTCATCACCCTTTTTGGCTGTATGGCTTGGTTAATCACTTATGCAATCCACGTAATGGAGGGTTGGTTGACTACCAATTCAACATGTGCATGTAAAGAAGACTTGCTCTTCAAGGTTGAGGGCTTTTTGGTCTTTTATTATGGAAGATTAGTGATCACATAACATGCTTTTAATCAAAATGATTTCTTCAAATATTGGCCATGTGTCACTTTACTAATGAAGAGGATTTCACCTTAATAGTGATCATGTGTCTTCCTTTTAATGGAGAAGACTTTTCCGTGGTCTTTAAAATATTATAATTTTTTTTTTTACAATTTTGAGACACTTTTCTAAACTTATAAATAGAGTTGTCTTTTATTATATAAGTTTATCTTTGAATTTGAGTGTTGTTATGTTGTTAAAATTATGTTATTATTNGTGGACTATTACAAACTTCTTCAGGTAGATCGAAGTGCCAGCGATGAGGATCTCAAGAAAGCTTATCGAAGGCTTGCTATGAAGTGGCACCCTGATAAGAACCCTAACAATAAAAAGGATGCTGAAGCCAAATTCAAGCAAATCTCGGAAGCTTATGATGTACGATTTCTCTCAATAAAAAATTTTCTTCGTGCAGTGCCAATTACATATGGAAAAAAGTTAAAACTTATATCAAAGTTTTAATGTTTTTTGTCGTTTCTTTCTTACAATATGAACTTTTAGGTGTTGAATTTTGTGTTCTTGAAAATTGGAATTGTGGGTTTTATGTCGACGTATATTTGTAATTTTTGTCTCCTAATCTCAATGTAATGCCGATTGGATTGTGCAAGCAAAGGGTGAATTTATCAGTGCTTCCATTTCTTTTACTAATTTTTGCAATTTGAAATTTGGGGTATCTAGTTTTGCAGTTTTGAGGTTTTTTCTTGTGATTTGGATCCTTGGAATCATGGGTTATGGTGGTGATTTCATTTGTGAATAGGTTTTGAGTGATCCACAAAAGAGGGCAGTGTATGATCAGTATGGTGAGGAGGGATTGAAAGGGCAGGTGCCACCTCCGGGTGCTGGTGGATTTTCCGGTGGCACTGATGGTGGATCAACGACTTTCCGGTTCAACCCTAGAAGTGCAGATGATATTTTTTCGGAGTTCTTTGGGTTTTCGAGTCCCTTTGGAATGGGGGATATGGGTGGCCGTGCCGGTCCATCTGGCTTTCCCAGATTTGGGGATGACATTTTTACCTCTTTTAGTAGGAATGCGGCTGGAGAAGGCTCTGTCAATGTGCCAAGGAAAAGTGCACCTATTGAGAGAACCTTGCAATGCAGTTTGGAGGATTTGTACAAAGGGACTACCAAAAAAATGAAGATTTCCAGGGATGTGATTGATGCTAGTGGGTAAGATATACAGTTTTAACTTGTTACCAACTTCCTTTGCTTCCATTCGTGAACAACATATGAAGTTTCTTGTTGGAATTTTTATTCGATAGATATGACTTGCTAAATTCCCAGTTAGGTTGGATTATTTGCTTTGTACTATATGGTTGTTTGAGTTGGATAATCACTTCTCTCGATAGTTTTGGTAAACTTGAATTTGAAATGTAGGTTCACAGTCTCGTAGCCACAGAGTAATAAACTTTTCTCTAATAAAGTGCTGAATAAATTCTGTTATTCACGATTTCTTTTATGTATATGAAGATCTGTAACTCGTAGTACTTGAGTTGGATCTGCCTATTTTCTTGGAATACACTGTTTCCTTGAAGAATATTCTTAATTTTTTATGTGAATATATATGGCACAGTACTTTGTTATCATTGTGTTAGTAATTTAATCCAAAAAGAGATAGAAAAATTACGTGTTATTCATTCAAAATGAAAGGTAGTTAGTTATGCTGTATGACTTCTTGGACATATTTTATCTTGTATTAGTTTCCTTTCCTATCATTCTTCATGCAAACATAAAGGATTTTTGTGGCGGATTCTAAGAGTTATAGATTATTATTACTATGATGTTTTGTCATTTTCTGTTCAGTAGGCTGGAAAACTGTTGCTAAATATGCAAGTTCTACGTATTATCTTGTTTTTTATATTTACTAGATCATGTGCATTCTATAGCTTGCTGCCTTTGTTGGTCCATATTATTTGGTATGCTCATAAGCACCAAAGAAATGCCATCTGTGTTCATAAGTGCAAAATTCAAGGAGATCTGAGTGTTCTTTTTCAAAGATTCATCTTTGTGCTGTTTTAATCTGGAAGGGCTTGTTAACTTTTTATCTGTATTGAGCAAATACCACTGTGTTAAAGGTTTCAATACCCAAAAATATCCAGGGGAATGAATCTACTAGTAAGATGGGGATGTTAAATATCGAGGTTAACCTGGAAATGTGGAAAAGGGATAGTTGCTTTGTTTATTGACATAGAATAAATGAACGGGAATTTAGCCATAAAATATTCAGTTTAACTCCATTCTTAGTGAAAGAAGAGGCAATTTAAGATAGTATATTGCTTGATAGAAAAAAAAAAACTGAGTATCAATACTATATGTATTGATGGTGTTATTCTCCAATCAAATTGGTGTTGTATCTTTGAAATCAATGCTGATTTTATTTTCTAAGAAGAAAGTTGCAATTATTGGTTTTGATTGGTGAACAATAACAATATTGACTATAATGTTCATCACAGTTTTCTCCTAAATGACTTGGAGATTTTATATCCATTAGAACTGTGATAAGTAGTATGGTCCTGGACAAATGGTATAGGCATGATGGAAGATTTTTTATATCCAAAATGATTGAAAATTCCATTTTGGACTGTGTTTGATTGGAACATACATGGTTGAAAAGTTTTTCACCTCTGTATTTGCCTGGCTTACATTGTGCTTGTGGTGATCAGAAGTTGGGCTTTCCATCCAAATCTAACTTTGAAATCAAATGCCAATCTCGTGTGTAGTTTTAGCCATGAAGGGAGACTTCGTTGACACAAAATGGAGGGTAGGGACAAGCTGTAATTCTCTTAAGAATTCCTCTAGGAGTGTGTGTAATATATGTGTGTGTGTATATATATATATATATATTCACGTTGAAGCAACACATTTTCTAGTTTATTATTTCTTGCAAATTAAAACTATGTCTGCAATTGATTAAAACTAGTTCCAATACCCCAAAACTATGAAGCACCAAGTGGTGGAGAAAACTCCTAAATTTATGTTAAGTGGGAAACTTTAGCCGTTAGGCATGTTTATATAGAATGCATATTTTGTAATATACGTCTAAAAATAATACATGTGAGACAGTGAATTATCATCGTAAATGGTTCTGATATCATGGAGAATTTTCTTCACGTCATTGACTAGTTGCGTCAAAAATAGAAGGATATTTATTGCATGGCATATACTAATCTATGTTCTTGAAAATAAGGACCCAGTTGTTTTAATATTCAATAAGCAACTGGCTTCTTTACATAGAGAAGGAATAAAAGTGATTCCCCTGTTTTTTATTTGTTGACTTTACGTATTTTAAAACTAATAGCAAGTTGGAATAGTAAATTGAGTTAACTGAGCAAATAATCTACTAGTTTTATTATTCTGTAGGAGGCCCACCACTGTAGAGGAAATTCTAACCATTGAGATCAAGCCAGGTTGGAAGAAAGGAACAAAAATAACTTTTCCAGAGAAGGGAAACGAACAAAGAGGAGTTATACCCGCTGATCTTGTTTTTATTATTGATGAAAAACCACATGGTGTCTTCAAAAGGGATGGCAATGATCTTGTTCTCACACAGAAAATATCCCTTGTTGAAGCTCTTACTGGTTACACGGCTCAGCTGACAACTCTTGATGGCCGGAATCTTACCGTAACCACCAACTCCATCATCAGTCCGACATACGAAGAAGTGATCAAAGGAGAGGGTATGCCCATTCCCAAGGAACCTTCCAAAAGGGGAAACTTGAGGATCAAGTTCAATATCAAGTTCCCCTCTAGACTTACATCAGAGCAGAAAACTGGCATTAAACGATTATTGACATCTCCATAAACTCTGGTGATGCGTCTCCTTACCACATCAAATCGTGAAAGAGTGGAATTACTTACTCAGTTTTCAATTTTCATATGGAAATTCTTTCCTTTTGCGAGCTGGTTTCTGTTATTAGAACAGTTTATTAGAAGTTTGATATTTGTTGTTTCATATTTTGTCTAGTTTTTTGTTTCTCAATGAAAAAAATTCTCTCGACCAATTGCCTACTTGTTTCTACAGAAATGTTTTGGAAGATTTCATTATCTACGCTTGTAGATTAAGTCTTTATTTTTGTCATCACCCTTTTTGGCTGTATGGCTTGGTTAATCACTTATGCAATCCACGTAATGGAGGGTTGGTTGACTACCAATTCAACATGTGCATGTAAAGAAGACTTGCTCTTCAAGGTTGAGGGCTTTTTGGTCTTTTATTATGGAAGATTAGTGATCACATAACATGCTTTTAATCAAAATGATTTCTTCAAATATTGGCCATGTGTCACTTTACTAATGAAGAGGATTTCACCTTAATAGTGATCATGTGTCCTCCTTTTAATGGAGAAGACTTTTCCGTGGTCTTTAAAATATTATAATTTTTTTTTTTACAATTTTGAGACACTTTTCTAAACTTATAAATAGAGTTGTCTTTTATTATATAAGTTTATCTTTGAATTTGAGTGTTGTTATGTTGTTAAAATTATGTTATTATTCATCTTATGTTACCAAAGGTTAGAGTGTTTCTTATAAGTTTCTTCTAACCATTTTTTTTCTAGAGTTAGTTCAACCTTTCTTGAAAGTACACCAAGTATTATAGTAGTCTTTATATGTGTTTAAGTCAATAGTTTTGAGGAGAAGTCATCATCTCACCACATTAAACTCATTATATGTGCACAATATTTTTGTCATCATCAAGCTTCTGAAATCATCAATGTTAACCTTGTCTTATAGCTATTTTCAACTGGTCCACATCAATTTCTTTTACACACAAAACAATGTCAAAAGCTAATATATTGTAAATGCATTCGAATTTCAAATTTAAACCTCGTATAGGTTAGAGGTAAAAAAAATGTTTTTGTAATCAAATGAAATCCCTTTGAGACTAGTTTTCAACAAAAAACGAATTAACACATTTAGAGATTTTTTTGGAGAAAGTTATATGCAAAATAGTTAACAAAGGTTAGAGATGCCAGAATGTAGTCATCAATGTTTTCTAGGTTTTGTGTGGTTGTTTTGAGATGTTTTTGGAGTACCTAAAAAACACTAGAAGAGAAGGTTAAATAGTGTTAATGAAAAAAAAATTCGCAACCCTTCTAATATAGCACGTCTGTCGAGTTTTGGATTTAACAAATGAATACTTAAATGCTCGACCTTGTAAATGATTCTGAATTATAGTTGTTTTTAACGTGTTCTTCAAAACATACATTGTACAGTTTATAAGAACTTCCTTAGTTGAATAAGAATCGTTTAGTGAGGAAGCTTCTTGTCTGTTGAAATAAAAACGTTGTTGCATGTTTTATGAGAAAAGAGTTTAGACAAAAAGATGAACAACAATTGCACAGGTATTTTTATACTGGTTTGCTCCAATTGAGCTTCCTCCAGTCTCCTCCGCAGAGGGTTTCACTATAATCTTCAATAATATTACAACTGATTATTCGCACCACTCTTGGTTTTCTCAATCAGCGAATAACCTCTTGTTACCCTAGACTGAATGGGTATTCACACCACTCCTGGTCTTCTCAGTCAGCGAGTAACCTCCTGTTACCCTAGACTCGATGAGTATTCGCACCACTCTTGGTACTAGACAACCTTACCTAGATTTCCTTAACTTCATAGAGTTCAACAAGTGTTTTAATTCTCTTCAGAATTGCAATCATCGATTGCTTACAAGTCGTTCACACTATTACTCTCATAGAGAGGATGTGATTACAATACAATGTCGTCTAAACACTCACAAGTGTTTTTCTCATTCTCTCTTTCTTACAACAATAACAAAATATTACAAATGTTAAAAAAGAAGTGCTTAGTTTCTCACACCAAGAGGGGGGTAAATTGGTGAAGCGTAAAAATATAAGCTTTCAAAATCTTTTTCGCAAAATAGGATGTCTTTACATTTTTCTTGAATCGCCAGTTAAATGGTATGTAATGTAGCAGTTCACTTAATCGAATACAATAACAGGTTAATCGACTGTAATGAAAAAGTGTAGGGGTCAGAGAATTCAAACTTTGGTTTTTATACTGGTTCGGCCAATCCTACATCTAGTGTCATTCCAACCACAGGAAGCAAATGCACTATAAAGATCAAGGTTTTTATAGTGACCTCACGTAAAAAATGTAAAACACCTCTATAACCCTATAATATAATACAAGCAGTAAACAATACAGACACTCAACAAGAATACCCTATTCTGTTGTCAAACCCTTTGAGGTATCCTCAAATTCAAGAACACAGTTCTTCTTCCTGCAAACACCGCAGGGAATCCAAGCCAATCTTCACAGTAAATTTCTTCGTGCAGATTGATTAGACATTCAATACCCAGTAAATCTTGCTTCTCAAGAAACCTCTAAGTCTTGATCACCACGGTCAATCTCTAGTTCTTGAAGTTTTTCTTTTCCTCTGTAAGACACACAACGTTTTCTGAAAGATATGAAAATGTTAATTCTCCAAAAGTTCTTATAGAATTCACAGCGTCAATTTATAGTATTACACACATCAGACGCATTTTAATCGATTTAGCTTTTAATCTAATCGAATACACTTCGCAGTTATAACAGACTAACAACAATCACAACATTTAATTGAATGCACATTTAATACAATCGACTCATAATAAATGCTTGGTCAATATATTTAAAAATATGACCGTTATGTCAGTTGTGACAAGCATTTAAGAGTTTTCAAAAACTTAACAGACTTAATCGAATACAAGAAGCATACAGTAGATTAAGTAAAAACACTTAGAACAATTTTTGATAACTTTTCTCTTCAAAATATCTCACAGCACACTTGAAAAGAGTTTGTGCAATCCCACGAATTTTAATTGATTCATCCCACAATGTAATCGACTTAAAATTGTTGGTTTGCCAACCATTAAAGTTCAACCAAAGATTTTGTGGTTTTTCATTTCCGAACACTTATGTTAAGCATACACATATAAAATCACATATTAAACATAGTGGTATGCTTTAAACAACACAATAATGTTCACACATATGCTTGTACAGATATAACACAGTAAGCAAAAGCATATATCATGTGTAACACAGTATACACATGTGTTATTATTAATTATGTGTTGTCATCATTAAAAACACAATCATCACTGAGATTGTGTGGGTTTAGCTAAACATGTGCTCCCCCTATCAACAATCTCAATAATCTCCCCCTTTTTTTATGATGCACAACCATGATTAATAAAACCATGTTCGTACACACATTCACAATCACATATTATATCAAATTCTCCAATTACATCAAATTCTCCCCCTTTGGGCATTATAAAAAAAGATATACAATTTGAAATTGAAACATTCATAGTCAATCAGATAGAGATGCATCAATTATAGTAATAGAATGATCTAGATGCTCCCCCTATCAATGACAGTCACATGACATTTATGTTTTCTCCTCCTTAATGAAAACATGTGAACTAATCATCAATATGCAATGCTCCCCCTGTCATTATGCATGTATTAATCTTCAAATCACAAGTACATAATGGAGACATATCAGAGTAAGTATTAGAGCATATAAAAGCATATTCAAGCAATGTATCAAATCAAATTTTATCACTTCCTGCTTGAGCAGATTGATACATGATGAATTATCAAAACATTTTAATCTCTTATTATCTCATTAATCATATACACACTAGATAAACATAGAGATATAAGATGAATAAATATTCAACAGATAGTCAAACAAGGTTTAAAGCTATCAAATATCATAAGTTTGGAAACTTCAAACCTAATGACTAAATCCAATTGATTTGAATATCATCATAATCGACTTCTTTGCTGTACAATATTGTTGATTTTCCATTTGATCTCAAACAGCAAGCATTGTTTCCACATAACCTTTCAGGCTTTTCCATATCAAGCCTTTTAGCATTAATGCAGTACAATAATTAACACAGTTAATGTATGAATATGCAATGATGTGAATGTAACAATAAAGTGATCTATTGCTTTCATACACACAAATTAATCGATTAATCACTTTATGCTATTGTCATCCATAATCCCTAATTCATTTCTAATTGTATAAAATCTTTCCTTATTCAAAGGTTTTGTGAAAATATCAGCCCATTGATGTAAGGTATCTACATATTCGACCTTAATTTCACCCTTGAGGATGTGGTCTCTTATGAAATTATGCCTTATTTCAATATGCTTAGTTTTAGAATGAAGAACAGGGTTCTTAGTCAGATTTATTACACTTGTGTTGTTACATTTTAAAGGAATGTGGTCTAATGAAATGCCATCATCTTCTAGCTGGCTCTTAATCCAAAGAGATTGAGCACAACAGCTTCCAGCTCCTATGTACTCGGCTTCTGTGGTAGATAATTCCACACAAGCTTGTTTTTTTGAATGCCAAGAAACTACTGAACATCCTAACAGATGACATGTACCACTAGTGCTCTTTCTGTCTAGCTTACAGCCACCAACATCTGAATCATTGTATCCTTCAAGAAAAATGTTTGAACCACTGGGATACCACAGTCCAAGATTTTAGGTTTCGTTTAAGTATTTCAAAATTCTTTTTACAACAGTTAAGTGTGATTTTTTTGGTTGAGACTGAAACCTAGCACAGAGACAGACACTATGCATGATATTTGGTCTACTAGCAGTTAAGTACAATAGAGATTTGATCATACCTCTGTACATTTTCTGGTCTATAGCACTGCCTTTCTCATCAAGGTTTCCTCTAATGAAGTTGCAACCTTCACTTGTGCTTTTATGTTCAACCTTGTCTCCAGCGAAATCAAAGAGACACATCCCTCATAATCATTCGCACAGCGATTAAATTCGTTGTGTGAATAAACTCTTAATTGTATCAAACCCTAACCCCTCGCATAGCGCCCCAATTCGCTATGCGAGAGCCCCAAGCAGTGGCTCAGACTCCCTAAACCCTCGTAGAGCGAACTTATTCGCTATTCGAATAAAAAATGTCAG